CATTTCAGCTCATTATTTTTCACATTTTTTTCAGATCCTCCAACCCTTCAATATAATTTGACCTCTACACATGTTTTCAACCATTTCTTCTACAATTCATCTTAAGGGAACTCCTAATCCAAACAGATCTCTCACTGTTCCCAAAACATGTCATGGTCTCTCCAGGTCCAACAATTCAGCAATCACCCTGCTCCCCTTCTATAATGCTTCTACAATGGTTAGCAAAGCTAACCAGCCCTTTAATGTTGTTGGACAGAGCAACTGATGCTTTATTTTTATTCTTCAAATTCTCCCAACCCCCACCTTTCTTCCTATCATTCTCTATACATTTCATGTTCCAAAGCATGAACAACTCTTTTCCTCCTACTTGATGACTTCTACACCACTTAAATTCCAAACTTTCCTTATTCTCTTTCCCCTGTCCTTTAAACTGGTTTGGTTCATACTGCCTTTAAGAAGGAATTATTCTGTGGCTATTTCTTTCACCCTATTTCTCCGTGAGCACCCTAAAACAAGCAAACAGATCTTTCACATGAAGTACCAGGTAACATTTTTTAGTTCTATACTCTGACTTTCTGGGCCTACAGTAAACAGACATTCAGTTGCTGAATGTAAGAAGTGTTTCCTTCTCTATTCACAAGCAGCCTTTCTGACTAATTAAAGAATGTGTCAAAACAGCTCCCCAGAAGAACCCATATGTCAGCCAAAGAATTAAATATTTTGAAAATGAGAAGATCTACTTGGTCCATTTCTCAATAGAGATTGAGAACAAAGGAAAAGAGACAGGGAAGAAATAAAACAGAACTGAAATGGAAATAAATTTAGAATTCTCTCATTATAATATAAAGGAAAAATATTTAAGCCCAGGAGTCTTGTTAAACCATTATGTATATGCCTAAGATTTTTTTTACTACCCTTCTACTGTTTTTTTTTTTTTAAGTTGTAGATGGACACAATACCTTTATTTTATTTTTATGCGGTGCTGAGGATTGAACCCAGTGCCTCATACTTGCTAGGCAAGTGCTCTACCACTGAGCTACAGCCCTAGCTCCTGCCATAAACTTTTGATAGAATCTAAGCCCTAAAGGCAAAATGGGATTTAAAAGGCCAAGGAATGATAAGAATGATGGGGAGTGGATAGGAGGCTTTGGCATAGTACTAATAATTCCTTAATACATTGTGTTTCAAAAAGACCTGAGTGCTACCGTATATACCTGTTATCCCAGCAACTCAGGAGGCTAAGGCAGAAGGAATGCACTTTTGAGGCCAGCCTCAGAAACTTAACAAAGCCCTAAGCAACTTAGTGAGACCTTGTCTCAAAATAACAAATATAAAGGACTGGGGATATAGCTCAGTGGTAGAGCACCTCTGGGTTCAATCCTCAGTCCTAAAACAAAAAACAGAAGAGCACTTACTTATCACTCATTGCTGAATGGAAAAATAAGTTAACTGTGTTCCACCATTTCTTCCAAAACTACAATGACAAAAATTGTTAGAGAACACAACACTGGTAAGGGCTTCTATCTTCCCTTAAATGTATGCTATTGCCTTGGGAACTGAGCTCCTATGGGCCCAAGTAGCAGAAATGAGAGGCATGTAGAAGAATGACATTTGAACTTGGCTGTATGTCTTCAAGGATCAAATGAAAACATGTGTTTATAGAAGCAGAATGGTTAGAATAAATAAGTAATTTAATTAAAAAAAAAGAAGTAGCAGAATGGCTTCTCAGCTGGTTTGGATGTTCACTTTTGAGACCTTAAGATGTTCCATTTTTCTTAGTCCACTATTGGTATAGTATTTGAGAAGTATCAAACTAAACAGTAAAGATATATAGAAGGTTTGGGTCCTGGGTCTCCCGGAACAATAGCATTCCTTCCTCCTTAGAACCCATAATAGCAGCTGAAGAAGGCACCATCACAACATTTTAGTTTTTGGCTATATTCAGAAATGTTTAGAAATTCTTCATTATTGGTTCATTCAATAAATATTTGTTGATGCCATGCCATATTTGATATTGCAGGTATCAAAATGGTTAAGTGCTTATAAAGTGTTATCTAAGTATTTAACACACAGCTAGTCATAAACACAGCTTCTAATTTTGTTGGTACCCGGTATCAATTTCCTTCATTACTCTTTTTCCTTAAATCTCACCTTCTAGCTCACCATATAGGGTTCAAATAAATAAATAAATGAATAGTTCAGTTATAGTGCAACTTGCCATATGGTAAAATATACAGTATGAGATGATATGCCAAGACATGGGAGGCACAAGAGCAGGTGGCCTGTTAGCTGAGTCTTGGGCACTAACTGGCCTGGTAGATACTGGATCATATATAGGAATAAGAAGAACTCACAGTTCAATAAATTTACATTTCAAGAAGTAGAATAAAGATTTCTTCTGAAATCTAAGCCAGTTAATAAAAGAAAGGGTAGGGCTGGGGATACAGCTCAGTTGGTAGAGTGCTTGTCTTTTATGCACAGAGCCCTGGGTTCAATCCCCAGCACCATAAAAAAAAAATTAAATAAATAAATTAATTAAAAAAATAAAAAAATAAAAGAAAGGGTAATGCAAATTTAAATGGAAACTACTTACTACTTGGTTTGCTTCTCCTATTAAAAGAAAAGATAAATTAATTTTTACTAACAATCAAAGGCAAACAAAATTCTAAGTATCAAAAACAAGGCTAAGTGAACTATTTTTGAAGCAACAACAACAACGACAAAAAAGACCCCTGGGCGAGAAATTTTACAATCATCCCTTTTCTAGGTCGGAACTCTCTTAGAATGAGACAAAGAAAAATCTGGACCTGGAATAAGAGGAAGATATTAGGAATCCATTCACTACACTGTCAGAGATTTGTTTAACAAACAAATGAGAAGCAAGGGTAATCAGATATCAAAGGAAGAGGAAATGGACTGGGGAGAATAAATGAAAAATTACAACTCCAGAGCAAAGGGTTATACCTTTTTAGGATGCCCATGAGTTTAAATTAGGAGGAAAAGAAAAAAGCAATTATTAGGATTTGATAAAGAAAAGAACCGTATTCATGTTTGTCTACATTACGCCTTGTAAAAATTAAATTTGATATTTTAATGTATCTAAGCAAGTAAGTACTGAATGCCTTCTGGACTGAAATAAAATTTAAAATTCTTACTACCCATTCTGTTCAACACAGAATTAGAGGTGGGAGAAATGTATCCACACAAAATATATGGCTTGTTTTGGTTTTCTCTTATTAAGCATAGATGAAGGGCATCTTAAAAGTATATGAACAAAATCCAAGATTACTAGTTGTGCATGCTTGTATGTTTTTAAGGAACAGAAAATCATAATGAAGAAAAGATTTGAGGAAATATACTAATGTCATTAAAATATAATTGGACTTACAGGAACAATTACTGTGCTGTACTGTAAGGGGAGCTGTTGGCACATAAGAGCAAAGCACACATATGAGCTCATCCACCAGCCTCAGCAAGACCCACTTCCAGCTAGAAGCAGTCATGTTTCAACACCTCCGATTCCCTAATGCTGACAAGCTAAACAACTTGTTTTGTCTCTGGGAGCTCTTCTCTGGTGATTAACTGCTTATGGTGAATACTAATTATGTGAAAGTACAGTATTGAAGAAGTAGTGCCCTATTTCCTCTACCTGCAGCCTCAACTTGTCTTTAAATCTAGAAGGTACAAGGCAGAGCCACTGCAAACCAGATCCAAGAAAGACATTCCCCTCCACTCCCACCCAAGTAATAAATATAACTCCTGATTTTGGTAAAGCACAGTTAACTGACAAGAAATCTCCATTTAACCCCTGGGCTCCAAACCCAATATAATGACAATAAAGTCAGTGTTTTAAAAGCTGGTAACAATCATACAGATAAATTTGCAGCAAGAGTTTGTGAATTAGTAAACTATCAGTGTCCTCAATTTCCTATGTCCCATGTTGAAAATTTACCCCAAATTGTCAGTTCTTAGGAAGTGCACCTCAGATTAAAATCTTCTCACCAGGGAGTCTATAAGAATTTGTTCTTGTGTTTTAAATCCTAAGTGCTTGTTAAACCGCCAGCACTGCAAAATTAGAGACCATTAAACAATATAAGGCAGCAAGTGATTAAATCTACCAAATACACATTCAAAGCAGCTTAAGCTACTTTTTAATTAAAAATAAAATATCATTGGCTAAATGCAGATGTCTTAGCTACCCAGAAAAAGTTAGAAGGCTGTTCAAAATGCAAAGTGCTTCTGATAAGTCCATACATAAAAGGAGTCATAGGGTAGTGGGTGGGCTGGACAGGGAGCTTTGTGTGGTCCCTAAACCACATGGCAGGATGTCCCAATGCTGACCTGGTTCAGGCAGTGGACATTGAGAAGGAGTCTCAGCTGCACTGCAGGGTAAGGACTCCATGTGGCTGCTGATTAAGTAAGCTTTATTAGCAAAGGCCCCCAAGGAGATAGGGTGTTCCACCTTCTTGGCAGGGGAACAAGTTGAATAACAGCATCACAGGAAGCTAAGGCATTGGAGATGTATAGATGGCCAAAGGAAATGTTCATTCTATTTTTAAATACAGCTTAAGCTAATTGATAAACATTTCTCAAAATAATCACTAGCTTTTGGGGAAGGAGGCATAGGGGCTTTTGAGTTAATGGGATCACTTGAGATTAAAAGAAAATCTTACTGTAAAGTTAGAAGTAAATAAACCTTGTAGCTTTAAGTTGTTCCTACTTGTTTAAAGTAAAGAAAAAGGGCCAGGGGGCTTAGTCAACTTCAGGCAGAAGGCCAAGATTCTGAAGATCAGACTTAAGGCTGGGATGATATCATTCACTCTGAAGTCTTGATTCTCTTTCTGAAGCATGAGAAAATTTACTGGTAAAACCTTACCTCACCCACAGTTTTCTTATTTTTAACTCTATTTTTTTCCCTCTCAAGAATGATTTTCCAAATATGCATTCTGCCTTATATGTAAATGTTATGAATTTACTTTTAGCTTCAGAAATGGTCTTACCTAAGAAGCTTGCCCTAAAGTAAAGTACAGGCACTTGGTAGCTACTAGAATATAAGACATGATATTCATATTTAATCACTTCAGATGCTGCTGCAGTCTCCGTCACTTCAGAATCATCCAAGGGTACCTCTAAAACCTCCTGAAAAAAAGCAAAAAGAAAACAAAACGTGTTGGTCAGGAAAAATAAAAAAACAGTACTTACATGGAAAGGGTAAGATGAAATCTCCTTCTTGCAAAATAACAGTTAAATAAATATAGGACTATGAGGTAAGGAAAAGGGAGTTACCCATATTAATGTTTAACATTTGAGTCCTGGATAAATAGTAAAACCAGAAAACATTAGCAGTAAGTAATTCCAGATTGTTTTGGGTAGACACAGCAGCTCTGGGTAAAGAAACAGGAAGGGGAAAAAAGATCTTTTGCAACAGCAACTCTAAAAATCTTTACTGTACAATTTTAGCAACAAGATGAGGGCTATACAAGCTACCTTCTTCCCTACCTGTGAAAGTTAAAAACATCCTAACAATTGAATGAGAGGCTGTGAAATGTCCCTAAAGATTCTATTGTACTTGCCAAAAGATGATTCATTGTGTGCTGAACAATTCCCAGTTCCATTTTGAATAAGTTATTTTGCAAGAGGTTGAGTTTGAAATCCTGATATGATTCTGTTTTCTTCATTATTGTGCTATCTTTGGTATAGTTCCACAACAAATCTTGATTTATAATAGAGTAGATGGCAAACATTAATGTCAAGTTAAGCAGGGTTTTATAAGTGGGATAGTCATTTCACTTCTCACCTAATTATTCTTATTGGTTGCTTTTTTTTTTTTTTTTAATGCATGCTGGTTTCTTGTGAATGTATCTTGAGCCAGGCCAGCTGGTGCCAATAGTTCCAGGTTCTCTGAAGCCTGAGGCAGAGGGATCAATTGAGCCCAGGAGTTTTAGACCAGCCTGGGCAACATAACCAGACTCCATCTCAAAACAACAACAACAACAACAACAAAAGGATCTTAAGGTTTAGAAGAAATTAATTGGACTCTTTGAATTAGAGTCTGATTCCATGCACAGACACTTATTTATATGGGCTAAAGAATTTCCTTTGAAATTACTTTAGTTGAAAGAATGAAACAGGTGAGTTTGGCTTGTTTCTGCTTCTCATTAAAGCAATAACAGCAACAATGAACAATAGGAAAGATTTCAAACATTATCAATATAAAATAAGGCTGCCTGTAGAGATAAGTAGAACCAGGACTGCTTTCCAGATCTGTGTCTCCTTTACTAATTCCCTGCTCAGAGTCAGTTCATTGAGGAGATATTACTATGGATAAATCACAACAGGAGATATTTACAAAATATTTTTCACTAAATCCCAGTAAACACTATCAATTAAATACAATAATTTAAATAACCAGAGCTATATCACTAAAATAAACATTCCAGACACAGAAAATTAATAGTGTCAAGAAAGAAGCTTTTGTTTGTTGTTTGTTTTTAATTTTCATTAGGCATGAGTATCTAGATCTTTACAACAATTCTTTTAATCCAGATTCTTTTTGTTCAATAACTGGGTTATTTAGCACTTATAACTTCTTTTCTTTTTCTTTTTTTATTGATTTTTTAAAAAAAATGACATTGGAATGCATTACAATTCTTATTACACATATACAGCACAATTTTTCATATAAAATTATATCTTGGTGTTTTGTTTTGCATCTTGAATGTCCCCTAAAAGCTGTGTATGGAAGGCTTGATTACGAGCCTATATGTAGCTCTGTTGTGAGATGGCAGAAACCTTAGGTGATGGGATCTAGTGGAAGAAAGTTATGTCAATGTAGAAATGCCTCTTAATGGGATATTAGGACCCCAGCCTGTCCCTTCCCACAACCACCACCCCATTCCCCAATCACTATGTCTTGAGCATTTTCCTCTGCCACATACTCCTTGACATGATATTCTGCCTTGCCACAAGCCCAAAGTCAAGGAAACGTGGTCTGAAACTATAAGCCAGAATAAATCTTTCCTTCTTATAAGTTGATTTTCTCAGACATTTTGTCACAGCAATGGAAAGCTCACTAATACACATAGTAATAATAATAATAATAATAATTTCAAACACTGCACTGCACAAATATAAAAAATAAAAAGTGAAATTCTCTTCATCCTAGCACTTCTCTACCTCAAATTTGTAACCATTTCTAATAATCTAGTGTACATTTTTTTAGACATTTTTAGTTTGGGGCACACAAACATATATGCACACATACACACCTCCTCCACCCTGCACTCTCCAGTCAAACCATACTATATGGACATTCTGCTACCTGCTGTCATGTCAGTGCTGTAGACTGATTCCTTTACTATATTCCATTGTATGACTGTGTCATGATTATTCTTGTTTATTTCACATTTCCATATTGTTAGATATTTTATGTTGACTATACAATTTTCTCCTATTACAAATAAGGCTGCAATGAATATCCTAGATCATACACCCTTATATACCTCTATTTTTCTATGGCACGCGCTCCTACAGGCAAGATCATTGTATCAGAGTATGTGCATTTTAAATTTCAAGACATACTGCCAATCTGCCCTTAGAAAATGACTGTGTTAATTTATACTATTAAAAAATATGTCTGAGAATGTCCTTTTTCCCTATGCAATTAATACTGAATAGTAATATAGCACAATGAATTCCACTATTATGTATCATTATAATGCACTAATAAAAATTTTTAAATATCAAAAAGACAAAAAATAATACTGAATATTATGTTTTCAATTTTTGTCTACTTAATGAGTTTTAAAATGTCAAGCTTTTGTTTTAATTTCTAATTTTTGATTATCAGTGAAGGTGAACATCTAGTTCTACATTTATTGGTTATTTGTATCTTCCATGATTTGCTTATTCTTATCCACTGCCTACTTTTTTTTATAGTTAGTTTGCTTACGTTTTTCTTGTTTAATTATATAATCACTTCATTATCAAAAATAAGTTATTATTGAACATAAGTACATATGACTGCACCAGTTTTCTTCCAACTTAGTTTATTATAATTTTATCATAAAGTTTTTAAAATGTTTATGTAGTCAAATCTATGTATTTTCTATTTACACCTTCTGAGTTACATGCCTTCAATAGAAAGCAGGCTGCTATGTCCCATCTTACTCTTAATAATTATAAAAATGTTAAATTCCTTTATTATATACAAGTTAAATTAACATTGACATTATTAATCCATCTGAATTTTGTTCTTTGTATATAGTACAAAGTAGATTTTTCCCAGATGCTTTCCCATAGTCTATCTTCTCCCCACGATTTTAAATGTTACCATTATCATAGTTTAGGGGTGTATCTATGGTTTATTCTCTTTTCAATCAGAATGGCTTAATTTTTTTAAAAAATGTTACCATCAAATATTTATGAAGATGCTATATCATACATATACTGTTGCATGGAACATAATACAGCATAACCTCTCTGGAAAATCATAGTTAGTTTTTTGAAACTCTAAACATAATTACCATGACAACCCACTACTTGCACTCTTGGGCATTTTTCCCAGAAAACTGAAAAACCTGTACTTAACTGTTCGTATTTTTTTTTTCAGAAGAGCCAAAAACTTGAAACAGTTCAGATATCCATCAACAGGTCAATGGTTAAACAAACTATGGAACATCCATATCATACTATTTAGCAATAAAAAGGAGCAAACCATTGACACACACACACACACACACATACACACAAACCTGCATAAATCTCCAGGGAATTATGATAAGCAATAAAAATCAATCCCAAAAGGTTAAATATAATTTGGATCCACTTATAAAACATTTTTGAACTGAGAAATTTATTCTAAACAAAGAACAGAGAGTAGATTGGTGTTGAGGGGGTAGAGTAAGGTGTGTCTGGTTACAAAGGGCAAAATGAGAAATACTTGTGATGGAACTGAATACACTTGTGGTAAAATTATATAGATAGAAGTACATACACAAGTACAAGGAAAACTGTGGAGACCCAAGTAAGAGCATGTCTACCATATAAATGGACGTGTTATTACACCACAGTCTTATAAGAAGTTATCACTGGGGAAAACTGGGCAAAAGGTACATGGGATCTTTTTGATTACTTCTTATTACTACATGCAAATCCATAGCACTTTTACAAGAATTGATTTATAAAATCAAATGCAAAGAAATATGCAATTTGAGGCTTGTTAAAAACTTAATAAATTTCTAAGACCTCAATGTGCTAAGAATATGGACAGTATAAGGATCATGTTAATAAAGGAACTCCAATGTCTGAGAGAATATAAGGAACAATAAATGTTGGCAAGGATGTCAGGGGAAAGGTACACTCATACACTGTTGGTGGGACTGCAAACTGGTGCAAGTAATTAGAAAAGCAGTATGGTGATTCTTCAGAAAACTTGGAATGGAACCACCATTTGACCCAGATATCCCACTCCTTGGTTTATACCCAAAGGACTTAAAATCAGCATTCTACAGTGACTCAGTCACCTCAATATTTATAGCAGCTCAATTCACAATAGCCAAACTATGGAACCAACCTAGATGCCCTTCAATGGATAAAGAAAATGTGGTATATATATATACACATGGGAATATTACTCAGCCTTAAATAAGAATGAAATTATGGCATTTGCTTATAAATGGATGGAACTGGAAAATATCATGCTAAGAGAAATAAGCCAATCACCAAAAAACAAAGGCCGAATATTTTCTCTGATATGCAGATGCTAATTCACAATTAGGATAGGTGGTGGCTAGGGAAAAATACAGGTAATTTGCATTAGGCAGAAGAGTGTGAAGGCAATGGAGTATTACTCTGCATTAAAAAATGACAAAATCATAGAATTTACAGGGAAATGGACGGCATTAGAGCAGATTATGCTAAGTGAAGCTAGCCAATCCCTAAAAAACAAATGCCAAATGTCTTCTTTGATATAAGGAGAGTAACTAAGAACAGAGTAGGGTCGAAGAGCATGAGAAGAAGATTAACATTAAACAGGGATGAGAGGTGGGAGGGAAAGGGAGAGAGAAGGGAAAATGCATGGAAATGGAAGGAGACCCTCAGAGTTATACAAAAGTACATACAAAAGGAAGTGAGGGGAA